TATGTACTAATAAGTTGGTGGACACTGGGCTTCTCTTCCCACTTTTTGGTTATTATGTCTAATAATACAATGAAAATTATTGTACTCATATTTGAGTTCTTATTTTTAGTTATTTTGTTTAAATAGGTGGAAGTGGAATTGTTGGGACATATAATTCATGTTTAGGTCAGATAATTGTATTGTTTTTAGTGGAAGTGAGGTTTTGAACCCCAGGCCTCATGCTTTCTAGGTTGGTATTCTACTTCTTGAGCCACACACCTCAGACCTTTTTGCTTTAGATGTGTTTTCCCAGGGACTGCTTCAGATCACAATCCTCTGTCTATACCTATCTAGTCCTTCAATCTGTTGTGTGAAACCACCATACCCAGCCTTGTGCTTCTGCAAGTCTTGCCCACTTTAATCTCTGCCTGAGTAGCTAGGATTACAGGCATAAACCTTTACACCTAGTACTGCTTTGTAATTATGAGGAACATCATTTACCTATTGCTGTAGAGAAATAATCTCAAAGCTTTGTAGTTTAAAACAATTACTATTGACCTTGTATTCTATGTGAGTCAGGAACCCAGCTATTTCCCAGTGCATCTCGTGAGATTGGAGTCAAAGTATCTTCAGGGAAATGCTTTCCTGGTATACCACTCACATATCTGGCTGTCCACAGATTTCAGGAGCATTTCTTCATGATGACTGGTTTCTCCCCAGACAAGTGATTCAGGAGAGTAAGGAAAAACTGCAGTGGTATTGGTTATGCCCCATCACTTTAGCCACATTGTATTTGTTAGATGTGAAAGCACTTTAGACACACTGTGTTTGTTAGATGTGAGAGCTTTTGAAGGGCTTTTTAGAATTACTAAACAGAGGCTGGGAATGTGGCTTAGTGGTAGAGTGCTTGTCTAGTATGCATGAAACCCTGGGTTCAATTCCCTAGTACCACATAAACAGAAAAAGCCAGAAGTAGTGCTGTGGCTTAAGTGGTAAGGTGCTAGCTAGTCTTGAGCAAAAAAGAAGCTCAGGAACAGTGCCCAGGCCCTGAGTTCAAGCCCAGGACTGGCAAAAAAAAAAGAATTAGTAAACACATTTTTCATCCCCACACTATTTTTTGAATTTTTAAGTTCTCTGTGTGTATGAATATGTGTGTGTGTGTGCGCGCGTGGGCACGCACATACATGTTCACCTGGGTGCTGTCCCTGAGCTTTTTTGCTCTGGACTAGTTTAATTGGAGATAAAATTCCACTGACTTTCCTGTTAGGGGTGGCTTCAAACCTTCTAGTCTCATGCACTTTGGGAGCTACAGGTTATGATGCAGATATGGAAAAACTCTAGAATACCATGACCAACCAGTCCAGAAGATGACCCTGAAATGGCATCAAGAATCCCAATCATGGGGCTGGGAAGGTGGCTCAGTGGTAGAGTGCTTGCCTTGCATGCATGAGGCCCTGAGTTTGATTCCCCAGCACCACATAAGCAAAAAGAAAAAAAGCCGGAAGTGGTGCTGTGGCTCAAGTGGTAGAGCGCTAGCCTTGAGCTGAAGAGCTGAGGGACAGCACCCAGGCTCAGAGTTCAGGCCCCACGACCGGACCCCCCCCCAAAAAAAAAGAATCCCAATCACAAAGAACCTATTAAGGGGATAGGCCCCCAATTTCCTAAGCTATATGCATTTTGCCAAGAAGCACAAGAAGAAAGGCTTGAAGATGCAGACAAACAATGCCAAGGCTTTGAGTACATATGCTAAGCCTTGATTATCAAGACTACTGTAAAACTCAGGTTAATAAATACAAGATTCTAATGGGTACCAGCCACAAGCTCCAACAACTTGCTTATGTCCTACAACCAAGCTTGAGAAGTGTGTTCATGACTACATTGCCAAGTCACAGGTGCTGTTGGCAAAATGCCAAGGCTCAAACCAAGACCCAGGTTCAGGCTCCAGTTCATGCTCTCAAAGGTGTCTGTGCCTTTGTCTGCCAATGGAAGAAAACACAATGATGTGACCTCCTAGCTACTGGGGGGGGGAGGGGCACGCACGAGGGAGGGGGGAGGGGCGTCCTATGTTGTTTCTGCAAATTAACTCAGGCAAGATCTGTAATGAAGACTGGAATCATCTGGAGTTTCTTCAGTTCTCTACTTTCCCTGAATCTGTGGTCAGCTGTGTGTTGACTTGGTGACTTTATTTTTATAGGGTTGCAGGCAGTTGCTTGCTTCCATTAGTCTTATCCCTCCTAGGTCCGTTTCTCCCTTATCTTCAGCAGAGTAGCCAGGCTTAAAGTCTTGAAGAGGGCATTTCAAAAGACAAAGTATGTATTATTAGTATGCCCTCCATCTCAGGTCTCAGCCCTTCCCCCAAAACCAGTTGATCTGGCCAGGCTTAACTGCAAGTGGCCTTCAGCCCTGGCTGTTCCCCCCACTTTACTTCCTGAAGTCAACATGTTATCCCTAGCCCCCAGCTGCATCCGAAAACCCCACCCTGGCGATGTGCCACTTCCCACCCCCAATAAAATTTTCCTGCCCCAGTCCCCTGGCTATAAAAAATGCCCCTAACCAAAGGACAGGCACCATTTCTCCCTCTCCTGTGAGGGAATTGGCCCTGTCAGTCCCTGCTGACAATACACTCCTTTTGCTGTTTGTGACTATGTCTGTGTGGCCTTCTGGGATGGTGGCTTTCAGGCAGTTTGGAACTTGATTCTGTTAGAATCAACTCAGATTGAACAAGATATGAACTAGGCTTGGGGCATGCCCGCAACCCCAGTGTACTGGAATGTGGTGACTTTGAGGCTACACAGCAAAATCAAAATGAAAAATAAAGCTGGAAGCCAGGCATGGGTGGCTCACACCTGTAATCCTAGCTACTCAGGAGGCTGCGATCCGAGGATCGTGGTTTGAAGCAGTCCAGGCAGAAAAGTCCCTGTAAGATTCTTATTTCCAATTAACCACTCAAAAACTTAAAGTGGTGCTGGGGCTCAAGTGGTAGAGTACTAGCCTTGAGCACAAAGAAACTCAGGGACAGTGCCCAGGGTTCAAGTCCCACAACCAACAACAACAAAAAGTTGGGCACAGATGGCTCATGCCTGTAATCTTAGCTACTCAGGAGACTCAGATCTGGGAATCATGGTTTGAAGTCAGGCTGGGCAGTAAAGTCTGTGAAACTCATCTCCAATAAACTACTCAGAAAAAAAGCTGGAAATGGCATTGTGGCTCTCTACAGCACTAGCCTTGAGTACAAAGAGGCTCAGAGACAGTGCCTAGGTCCTGCGTTCGAGTCCCAGGACTGGAAAAAGGAAAAAAAATTAATAATTAAAATTTTAAAAGGTGGGCTGGACACTGGGGTTCATATCTGTAGTCCATCCAGGAGGCTGAGATCTTAGGATCATAATTCCAAACCAGCCCTGACAGAAAAGTCCATGAGATTCTAATAGCCAATTAACCACCAAAAAAATTGGAAGTCAAGCTATGGGTCTTATGGTAGAGTACTAGCCTTGAGCAAAAAAAGCTTCAGAGACAGTGTCCAGGATCTGAGTTCAAAGCCCAGGACTGGCACATACACACAAAAAGAGAAATAAACATAAAAAATTTAAAAAGTTAAATGGATTCTACCTCCTTATGAGAGGCAATACAAAAATTTATAACAGAAGGTGTGGACACAGTGAAGACTGGTGCATACTGGGCCATTTTTGAAATGAATCAACCATATACATTGGTAGCTTTTCATACGTATTCACCTGAAAATGATGGTGTCTGATGCCTTTGCAAGTCAAATTTTCTTTTTTCTTTCCATTAACCCAGTTTCCTTTTGTGTCTATCTTTTGCTCTATTCTTGAGTTTTTATATCAAAAGTATGTTTGATAATAGTTATATCGTATTTTCCTTTAAGACAGACTTAGTCATCCTCTCAAATTTTTCCTTTAATGCTTAGTAACAATTCAAGTACAAAAGTAGGTGATTGTGGGCTGGGAAGGTGGCTCATTGGTAGAGCGCTTGCCTTGCATGCCTGAGGCCCTGGGTTCGATTCCTCAGTACCACATAAACAAAAAGAAAAACGCCGGAAGTGGTGCTGTGGCTCAAGTGGTAGAGCGCTAGCCTTGAGCTGAAGAGCTGAGGGACGGTGCCCAGGTCCAGAGTTCAGGCCCCACGACCGGACCCCCCCCCCAAAAAAAAGTAGGTGATTGTTTAACACCAGGAAAAGTAGAATTCCCCTGGAGAAGATGTCTGGTTTCAAATAATTTCTTTTACTTGTCTGCAAAAGGTCCTGGATTCATACCAAGAATTAAAAGCAAGTCAAGTTTCTATTATTGACCCAATAAAATAGATTGAGGCTTTCTTTCTACTATTCCCTGCTTATATTCAGTCAAACAGGAGCAACTTCCTATCTGTCCAACGAGATCAATTTTCCCTCCTTTTTTAATTCTCTACTTGGAACGCCTATTTACCCTCAATTTCATCCAACTCTAAGGAAATTATCTCAAGAAAGCTCAAATCTACCCCCTTTCACAAGTAGCCTCCCCAACGTGATGTGCCTCTTCCCCTTTCTGAATCATTGTAGTATTTAGGACCTTTCAAACGGACTTTCTTGCCTCCAACATATTTACGTATTCACTTTTCTGTTACATATCTATGCGTCGGTTTACTCCTGTGAAAAGCGTGCAAGATGATAGTACCTATTTTACACAGCTGAAGCAAGTATTCAAGTTAGGTAAAATTTAAAATAGAAGGAACTGCAGTGGGGTGCTCAAGCAGATATTAACTATCATTCCTTAGAAGCACTATGATTGCTGCTGAAGAATTTTCACGAAAGTGAAATAAAAAGAACCTTATGGATTCTTCCAAAATCCTACCAGATTCCGGCGCAGGACAGAAATGCGCAGGAGCCCCCGCCCCGAAGTGGAGGGTGCCTGCGTAGTGAGCGGCGATTGGCGGAGCGAGAGCGTGGAGAGCGGCGCGGCGCATGCGCGGGGCGGAGCCTGCGGGCCTCGGCAAGGCGCAGCGTTCTGGCCCTCTGGTGACGGCTCAGGTGTTCCCTGGTGTGCGAGGCCAGACCACGTTTCTGGGTCATGGATTTTGAAAATCTGTTCTCGACCCCTCCCAACCCGGCCCTCGGCAAGAGAACGGACTCTGAGGAGAGGTGATCCCACATCTTTCATCCTCTGAAACCAGGGACCCCGGCCGGGCTCCGCCCTTTGGATCCTAGTGAAGCCGGCGTGCGGGGCTGGTGGGCGGCCCGGGGCTGGGGCTGTCCACGTGGAGACCGGCCGGGTGCGGGGACGAGCTGGAGGGCGTCCCAGGGACCGGGACGCCGCGGCCAGGGCGGGCGAGAGCCTGGGCCGCGAGGAACGCGGGAGTGGGTGCGGAGGAGAGCAGGCTGCTCTCTCCCGGCCTCGGCTCCCAGGGAAACCCGTGCCCTTGTGATTGTCTCCCGTAAGCGCAGGTAGACAAAGGTCCTTTCGAGGTTTCCGCGGATAAGACTAGGCTATCTTACTCTTTGTGTGTAGTAAGGACAAGTTCATTAGACGGTGAAGGATGAATAGTGAGAACCCTGCTAATTAGGGATCAGTGGACTCCAGAGACCAAAATGAAGCCACGAACGCCATTTCCATTTAATGTTTCTTTTCCATTGAACCACAGCTCCAGTAAGTGTAGACATCTTAAAGAAGGTAGCAGAGGAAAAGCCTCCTTGATGACTGACGGGTAGGTGATATTGGAGTCCGAATCTGAACGAGCATAGGACGTTGACATCCAGGGTTGGAAGGAGTGCCTTTGCGTAAAGGTCCTGAGGGATGTGATTGTAGCCAGCGTGACGTCTGGAATGGAGTGAAATAGTAGGATCTGAGGTCTGACAATTACTGGGAGGAACGTGGTTTTTACTCTGAATAAGACAGGCTCTTGGAGGGTGTTTAGCAGGGAGTGACATTATCTGTCTTAGCTTTATAGCAGGGTCACTTTTGAGAGTAGAATGGAGGGGAAGGAGAGCAAGAGCAGCTGGGATCATTTAGTACCAAGAAGCAATCAAATACGGGTATTTTTTTTTTGAAGAGGAGTCAATATCCACTTGACTGTTTAGGAATAGCTGTTTAAAATAGGATTCTGTTTCATAGAAATGGAGTTCAGTGTTGGATTTGTAAGATAGGTCTAGTAGATACCCAGATGAATATGCTAAATAGGAAACTGGCTTGATTGGATTTTAAAGGGAGAGATCTGGGTTGGGGACTTGGATATTGAAACCAAGTACATGTAGATGATAGTAGAAGCCATGGATTGGAAAGACATCCCCCAAAATGAGAGTAGAGGCAAAAGAGCTATAAGGTCTAAATGCATTTTAGAGTTGTAAAATTGAGGAAACAACCAAGAAGTTGAAGGGTGAGAGACTGGAAAGGAAGCACTCACTATTCCTGATGCTGCCATAGTATGTGTTTTACAGGTGTGAGGGTGATCCCTTCTGACCCATCCTATTCATCAATCAGTAAGGTAATGTAAGGACAGAGTAGGGACCTTCACAGAGTGGTGAATGTGGAGAGCAGTGAAAACTAACAAACTAACAAGGTGTGGTATAGGGCATGCATTTATTTTCCATTGCTGTGTATGTTTCAGGTGTTCTTGGGCTAATGTTTCAAATATCAGGTAATCACACAATGTCTAACATGGTCAGCTTTCATTCCTATAAGCCTGAAAACATCTTCACATTTAGACATGTGTCTCCCCAAAGGGAACCCTGAACTCAATCTGAAATACCTTTCTGTTTTATATTCCTTATTGTTTGCTAACCCTGAACATGACTTTAGATCATGTCTCCCACTGTAGATGACTTACCATACTATGTTGAAGTTGCCTTTATGTTTTTCTCCAAGGAGATAAAAATCTCTTGGAAGTATGGACAAGGTCTGTCTTTTTCTCTCCCCCCCACCCCCCCATCAGTCATGGGGCTTGAACTCTGGGTCTGTGTGCTGTTCCTGATTTCTTTAGCTCAAGGTTAGGGCTCTACCACTTGAGCCACAGTGCCTCTGGTGGTTAACTGGAGATAAGAGTCTCATGGACTTTCCTGCCCGGGCTGTCTTTGAACCATGATCCTTAAATATCAGCCTCCTGAGTATCTAGGATTACAGGTGTGAGCCACTGGTGCCTGACTAGGTCTTTTTCATTGTTCATTGTTGTATGTAGCCTAAGATATGAGACCACAGCCTGGTATGTGATAAATATTCTATACTTGTTGAGTGAATAGAATGATGGATGATTGATGAATCTACTAATTCTTCAATGTTAAGGTTGCAATCTAAAATTTTCAATGTTATAGGTTATTCATAAACATTGATATCTACTGCTCAGAATGAGTTGGTGCATTATTTGTCTGCAGTATTTGGAGAAGTGCTTATTTTTTTGTTAGTTTGGTTGGTTGGTTTTTTGTTCCTTACTCTGGGGCTTGAATTCAGAGACTTGCACTCTTGGTTTGACTCTTTCAGTCAAGGCTGGCCTACTTCCACTTGAGTTACATCTCCACTTCTGGATTTTTGCTTGTTAACTGGAAATAAGAGTTTCATGGACTTTGCTTCCCCTGACTGGCTTTGAACAGAAAGCCTCAGAGATCAGCTTCCTGGGCAACTAGGATTATAGGTGTGAGTCACCAGTGCCAGCTGGAGTATATTTGGAATTTGAAATTTTATTGAGAACACATTAAAGTCAATCCAAGGAATGACTCTTAATCCTATGGTATGAACCCTTTTTATATTGGAGAAAGCCTTTTGTATTACTTAATTTTTTTCTTTTTCTGCAGAACCAGCAATGAAAAAGATGACACCAAACTTAAAGAAACACAAGGAGGGAAAGTCAAATGGAAAGTAAAACTGAAGTCTGAGAAAATTCCCAGAAAAGTAAGCTTAAGTTAGCATATTAGAAAAACAGCTACAAATGGGTGTTTGTGGAGGTCTCATTTGTGTCAGTTTGTCAGCATTTCCAACCTTGTTACTTGTATGAGGGATTCTTGTTCACATTTTTTAAAAGACATTGTCATTGAGTGTGAACTGTTTTTAGTAATTGACTTTATTTTGACTTTTCCCTGCACCAGATGAATACTTTACCATTGTTTTAACAGGTTGATTTTCCTCTTTTTTGTGTTATCTGTCCTGGGGCTTGAACTCAGGACCTGGGTGTTGTCCCTGAGCTTTTGTTCTCAAGGTTAGTACTACTTTAGCCACAAAAAGAGTCAGATTTTCCTGCCTAGGCTACTTTGAACAGCAATCCTCAGATCTCAGCCTCCTTAGTAGCTAGGATTGCAAGTGTAAGTCACCAGTGCCTCGTGATTTTTCCTATTTTTTTTAATTAAAAATTTTTTTTGGTGGTTATTTGTGTTTGAACTCAGGGCCTTGGTGCTATCCCTGAGCTGCTTTTGCCCAAGGCTAGCACTTTACCATTTGAGCCACAGCTTCATTTCCAGCTTTTTTTTTTTTTTTAATTTTTAGTAAAGATAAGAGTCTCCTAGACTTTGCTGCGCAGAACGGCTTCAAATGCAATCCTCAGATCTCAGCCTCCCAAATAGCTAGGATTATAGGTGTGTGCCCCTGGCACCTGGCTTTATCATTAAGTGGTTGTGCAAAGAGGTTACAATCATAAGTTGGGTTATGAATACAATTAATCTTAATGGATGTCACCCCTTTTTATCATTCTTGACCATTTCTCCCACTACCACCCCTACCCTGAAGTTATGTAGTTCAGTTTTTACATAATGTACATTGAATATAATGACTGTATTTGCTCAGTCCCCCTACCCTCTTTTTTTTTCTTTGTTTTAATTAAGGTCAGATAGAATCTGGAGCATTTTTACACAGGCTGGCTTCTGTCCTTGCTCCTCAATCTTCTAAGTCCTTTCACCTCTCTACCTATGCCCTCCACCTAGCTGGGATCATAGGTATGCACAACCACATACACCTGATTTGTTGCTAACTTTTTGCCCAGGCTGGCTTTAAATTGCAGTCTTCCTAAGCTGTATTTCCTAAGCAGCTGGACTTACATAGGTGACCACAACCTCGACTATTTTCTTACTTTTGAAATGGATAGTAAACTGTTTCAAAACTTCTAGGGCTGGGGATTTGGCTCAAGAGGTAGAATGCTTGCCTAGCTTGCAATGAGGTCTTGAGTTCAAACCACAGTTCCACCCTCTTGCCCCTTCATCCTCCCCAAAAACATGTAAAATTCTTTCCTTGCAAATTCAAGTGAGGTTTGTTTGTTTTTGTTTTGGCTAGTCCTGGGGCTTGAACTGAGGGCCTGGGCACTATCCCTCTACCACTTGAATCACAGAGCCACTGCTGCCTTTTTCTGAGTGGTTTATTGGAGCTAAGAGTCTCATAAGATAAGACTTTCCTGCCCTGGCTGGCTTTGAACCAGGATCCTCAGACCTCACCCTCCTGAGTAGCTAGGATTACAGGTATGAGCCACTGGCCACCAGCTCTAGGAAGTTTTTTAAGGGCTTTTGTTTACTAAGTTAGCCAGATTTAAAGCTTAATACCTGTATGTAGTTCGGGAGGACTGCCATAGCCAAGTATCAGCAATTGTTATCTTGGGGTTCTACAGGCTGGAAGTAGAAGTAAGTCTGAAAGCAAGGTATTACAGGATTGGTTCCGTTTGAGGTCTATGAGGCAGGATCTGTTTCAGGCCTCTCCCTGGCTCCTGGTGGATTGCTGGCAATCTGTATTCCTAGGCTAACAAAAGCATGGCCCTGTCTTCTGTTTGTATGTTCTCATGGCATTTTTCATCTGGGCCTAAATCTGTGTGAAAACTCTTTTTATAAAGACACTGGTTACACTGGATTAGGCCCACCTTGATGACCTCATCTTAGTTACATATGCAGTGGCCTGATCTTCCAAATAAGATCAGTTTGAGCTACTGGGGGGGGCTAGAATCTTGAGGACTCAGTTTACCCGACAACAAAACTGCTCTGCTTCTTGTGCTTCTCCTTTTAGTAGATTCTTTTTTAATTTGTGAATTTTAATGTGCTACAGAAGAATGGGTTCATGTAGTCAGTGAAACTCTTTAAGACATAATAGGCTTTATAGTAGCATCTGGGATAGATGATGTAGCAGGAACAGCATTTTACCTCCTGGAGAAACTACTCAGCTATCCAGGTAAATAACTTTTGCTTTTGGGGCATTCGTGGTTGTTATAGTCAAGAGCTGAGGTTAACATAGAAACTGTACCTTCAGCCAGGCGCTGGTGGCTCACGCCTGTAATCCTAGCTACTCAGGAGGCAGAGATCTGAGGATTGCGGTTCAAAGCCAGCCCGGGCAGGAGAGACCATGAGACTCCTATCTCGAATAAACCACCAGAAAACCGGAAGTGGCGCTGTAGCTCAAGTGGTAGAGCTCTCGCCTTGAGCTGAAGAGCTGAGGGACAGCGCCCAGGCTCAGAGTTCAAGCCCCACGACCAACCAAAAAAAAAAAAAAAGAAACTGTACCTTCAATTTTCCACGATATGTGGGGAGGGTTATCGTGCTTGTTTTGGGGGGCTTAGGTTTTTTTTTTGTTTTACTTAAGGCCTCATGCTTACTAACTAGACTGGCATGGTACCATTATTGAACTACACTTTCACATTTACTCTTCATTGACCTAGGAGAGGAGCTAGTGGATTTTAGAATGTGAGCAGCTTTAGTTTTTTTGTAATGCCTAACAGTATCCCAAACTATTTCTACCAGTTTTTATTCTCACAGGCAGTTTATGAGAAAATACATTTCTGTTGCTTTGTTATAGAAGTGCTTAGTATTGCCACCCTTATTTTTTGTCATCTTCAATGACCTTGAACTTGTGACATTATGTGCACAGAGTTCAACATAAATCATAAATGGAGGTTTTTTTGTTGGTGGTGTTAGTTTTTTGTTGTTTTGTTTTTCTTTGGTTTTTGTTTTTTTGTGGGTTTGTTTGGGGTTTTTTGCTTTACTAGGTTTGAACTTAGGGCTTCACCCTTGATGCTCTACCATTTGAACCTTGCTCCCAGTCCTTTTACCAATTTATTTTTTCACATAAAGTCTTGTGTATTTTACTAGGGTCAGGCTAGGACCACCAATAACCTTTGTAGCTGGTATTACAAGCATGCCAACTGGCTTGTTTGTTTATTACCAGTCCTGGGGCTTGAACTCAGGCCCTGGGCACTGTCCCTGAGCTTCTTATGCTCAAGGCTAGCACTCTACCACTTGAGCCACAGCACCACTTCCGGCTTTTTCTGCTTATGTGGTACTGAGGTATTGAACCCAGGGCTTCATGCATGCTAGACAAGCACTCTACCATTAAGCCACATTCCCAGCCCCTGGCTTGTTTATTGAGATGGGTTTTTGCTGTCTTTTGGCCTGGGCTGGCCTCCTTCTATGATTCTCCTTTTCTGCCTCCCAGATAGCTGGGAGTGAGCCACTATTGCCCAGCCATTTTTTAAAAATGTTTTTTATTGTAAAAATAGTATACAGAGGGGTTACCTTTACATGAAGAAGGTAATGAGTACCTTTCCTATTGAGAATTGTTACCTCCTCTTTTGTTTTTCCCCTACCATTCCCTCCCTAACCCCCCCCACCAAGTTGTAAAGTTTGTTTTCAACATAGTGTCTTGTTCCTGTCATTGTTACAATAGGTCAGCCTGTATCCTTGTTTCAGCATTTTGTTATTTCCCTTCCTCTCCCCAAATTAGAAAAGTGTAAACACAAGATACAGGGCACCAATGTCAAATACAGTGAAAACAGGGGTTATACTGTCGGGGAAGAACATACAAGAGAAACAAATCACATCGTACATTTTAGGTACATTAAAAACAATAGTAAGAAAGAAAAAAACAAGTTGTGTCCCTATCTTGGGGTTCATTTCACTTAACATCATCTTATATGGCCATATGTACAGAGCTTTTGACCTTTTCTGCTTGTCCTAAACTTATACTAGTTATTGCAAATAAGGGAAACCATGGGACCTATGTTTCTTTGGGCCCCAGCCATTTTTTAATAAGAGATTATTCTTTGTGGGGTGACCATTTGTTTAAAAATCAAAGTTTCCATTCCAAATTGATTGTAAAGATTCATCTGTTGCCAGGTGCCAGTGGCTCATGTCTATAATCCTAGCTATTTAGGAGGCTGAGATCTGAAGATTGTGGTGTGAAGCTAGCCTGGGAAGCAAAGTCCATGAGTCTCTTTATCACCTAAAAGCTAATTTCTCTAGTACTTTGTTGCATCCTGGAGCTGCTGCAACTCAAAGTGACTCAAAGTAATAGAGTGTTAGCCTTGAGCCAGAAAAGCTTAGGGACAGTTCCAAGGCCATACGTCCAAGCCCCAGGACTGGCACACACATACTCATACACACAAAGGTTCATCTGTTACATTGCTATATAATGAAATCTTAATTCTTTCAACTCTGAAGATGTCTTTTCACTATGGATAGGCACTGCAAATGCTGCTATCAGTTTACCAGCATTTGATTTTAATTAAGCATTTTCATTGGTAGGCATTTGTGGAACTTTGTTGGATTGTTGTTTTGATGTGGTAAAAGTTCAGCTAAATGGACTTCGAATGGCACTTTCGTTTGCCCTTGCCTTAGTCTGAAAGACTACTGCTCAAATGTGGAAACCATATCTGCTGCAAATGAGGATGGGAGTAGACATCTTGTTCGATTTTAATTTTGATTGGCATAGTGATACTGAGCATTTTTGCTCACCTAAGAGCCAAAGTGAACTATCAAAATCATTTGGTTTTAAAATTGTTGGCCAGGGATTTTTCCAATTTCTTCATGTCTGAGCATCTGTTCTTCCCAAAAGGCTGTCTTTATTTTCTTTGAACACATTTCTCAAACTGCTCCAAACATAGTTTAATTAATTCAACATTGATTTTCCTTGGCTATCGAATGAGCTGCTGAGAAACGTAATTTAGGCCTGGGGTGATGACACATTTGTAATTCCAGGAGTCAGATAGCTGAAGCAGGATTGTGAGTCCAAAGCCAGCCTGAGCTATAAAGTAACATCCAATGTTAAAAATAAAACAATTAGATTGTAGCCTTATTTTTAATTTTTATGAGGCAGGAAATCTGTTATGCAATAGCATGATTTAAATCTTCTAATTTCTCTATTTGTTGCATCTTGGGAATAATGAATACTTAATATATATAAATACATATACACACATTTATAGATACATATATATATATATATCGTGTGTGTGTGTGAATACTGGGACTTTAACTCAGGGCCTTGTGCTCTTAGCTTTTTTTGCTCATGGCTATAGTACCACTTGAGTCACATCTCCAGTTAGGTATTGTACTGGTTAATTGGAGATGGAGTCTCACAGACTTTCTGCCCAGTTTGGCTTTAAGCCATGATTTAGGCATAAGCTGCCAATATATTTAGTTTTTTGACAGTACTGTATTATTACATAATACTATAACACTTTGCCATCTCACTCAGCAACAAAGTAATCCATCCTTCACTATGGAGGATTTAGTACCCACATGAGAAGCCTTAGCCTTTACCAGGCATTTCATTCAATTCCTCGGATTAAAGTTACCTCTTTTTTCCTCCAGGGCAATTTTCTAGTTGATTTTGTTCTGGTGTCAAGGAAGAATTTATTGCAATAGCTTAGTCTGTTTTTGTAGCATTTTAAGTTCCATTTTTCAGACTCCTAGTCCACCTTCCAGAGCACAACTTTCTTTGTCAAACACTTTGTTACTAATGAGTATACTTCATGCCCAGTGTGCATATACATGTGTGCACGCACACACACACAAATAAATCTATGAATACCTTTATTGCTGTGGAATGTCAGGAAGCCATCCACTACTTCAGCAAAGCATCCTGAGTCAAGCCAAAAAAAAAAAATACTACTTTAGACTTGTTTACAAAAAGCAAGGAAATATAACATGTATGACCCTACTGTCCAGTGTCAAGAATGATCAATTCATGGCAGATACTGTTTCTTTTCTATAATTAGGTTGTTTTGAATATCACTTTAATATTGAAATTTTAATTTTTGCTTAGCTTAGGCACTTTGGAAACTCTACAGCATCACCAAAGAGTTTACAATACATAAAATCAAGAAGTAAGGACTATGATACATATAGTGACAATGACATATGTAGTGAGGAACAGGAAGATAACTTTGCCAAAGAACTTCAGCAGTATATACAAGCTAAAGAAATGGCAAATGCGGCTCAGACTGTGCCATCTCCTGAAGAACCTATGAAGACAGAGGGAGCAAAAGATCGACAGCAGGGTAAGTGCCAAACTGCTGTGTGATTTAGAGTTTATCCAGAGAGACAGTCCCTTGTTTAGGGGGGCTTTTCTCCTGCACTTTATCTAAAAATAAGAATAGATTTCTATGGATCATTATACTAGAAGTGAACTTGCTTGATGATAGACCATACCTGAGACGTGGTTATTTGCAAGAGAACCTGAGGATGGAGAGGCAGTAGGTAACTTATCAGAGGCCATAGTTAGAATATCTAATTCTTGATCCATGCATATAGGAAGGATGAGATGTGTCTCTTTGTGTTGCTGTCCAAACTTAAAAGAATTGACTAGAAAGATACATATATCAGGCTATAGTTCAGAAATATATTTTTTTCTATTGTAACAGTGGCATCTAGCCATAGATATGAGAGCAAAGACAATTGTAAGTGGAATTTTTGTTACCTTTTTACTTCTTTTCCTCCAGGTGTTTCTTTTTTTTTGTCTGAGATGGGATTTGAACTCTTGATCTGATGCTTTTGTTCACTTGACTAATGCTGTACTACCTGAGCCAGGCATGCAAGTGTTTTTTTGTTGTTTTTTTTTTGTTTTTTGGGTCCTGAACTCTGGGCCTGGGCACTGTCCCTCAGCTCTTCAGCTCAAGGCTAGCGCTCTACCACTTGAGCCACAGTGCCACTTCCGGCTTTTTTTCTTTTTGCTTATGTGGTGCTGAGGAATCGAACCCAGGGCCTCAGGCATGCAAGGCAAGCGCTCTAACCACTGAGCCACCTTCCCAGCCCCATGCAAGTGTTTTTTATATTCAAAATAACCTATGTGAAATATTTTCAGTGAAAAATCTGACTGATGTCAGAGGTCATTTTAAACATTTGAAGTTTTTTCTTATAGTGCTCTGGCAATTCTTAACTAGATCCATTATAGAGTGACCACTTTAAAAGGTTCTGGCTTAAAAAAAAAAAGAGGTTCTGGCTTATGGCTTGCAAAATTAATTTTGATTAATTATCTTGTTTTGTATTCCTCCTAACAATTCAGGATATGTTATAATTCTGTTTGGAGTCTCTAACAGAGCTTCTAAAAAGGAAAATTAGTATCATACCCATTATTCTCCACTGAACTGAAGAGAACTTTTTCTGGATGATTACAATATATACATACTTCTTAAAATTAAATGGATACTTTTTAGTTGTTCAAAAATTAACTTTGTTGTTTTTAGCTGCTAAACAAAAAAATAAAAATCTTAAAGCTGGTAATAAGAACAGCAAACAGAAGAAACTGAAGCGCAAATGGCCAAGCACTGGAAACAAAGGATCTGATGCCTTACTGAAGAACAGGGGCCCGCCCAAGGAGGTAATGAGTCACAAGCAAACATGTGCTATGTTTGTAGGATGCTTACATACTCCGGGATTTCTTTCTTGATAAGTGCTAAGTCACAGGATGAGGGCCAAACATCCCCCAAACCAAGGGTTATCTGGAGGTGGATAGCCTCTTACCATTAGTAAACTCTGTAACCTTCCTTGTTACCATTGCAAAAGCCCTCTCACACATTAGCCCACACCCATTTGGCAGCCTTAATATTTTTCCTATTGTCCCTGAATGCAGCTAACAAGCCCCTTAAGTTTTGAATATTCTGCTGATGATTATGGAACAATGGAAAACCAAAGATAAAATAGCCCTGGAGACCTTTCAGAGGACATAGTCTTACAGAGTTTACACTATTGAAGACCCTCTTCTGTTGATTTGACTCCTTCTGAAAACTGAAATTGACTAAGTGTTGGCCTTACCACATCTTCCAACCTCACTTCTGGTATTTTGGTTTTGCTTTGTGGACATTCTTTTTTGCTATGCATATGTGCTAAGGATAAGACAATAAATGACTCCTGGACTCTTGCTTTTCTGATGGCTTTTCAGATGGATGGCAAGCTTTTGATTAGGCTTGATCAAAGGGGACAAGAAGGAGCAGGACACTAGAAATTCCAAGTATTCGCTGGGCATAAGTGCCTTGTGGTCCCAGCTCCTAAGGAGGCTGAAGTGGAAGTTCCGTATCAGAGTAAATACATTGAGATCCTGTCAGAAACAAAACATGAAAGATTCAAACACATTTATGTAAAATATTCCTGCTTCAGTATTTTACAAGTGAGAAATTTAAAGCCCTCGGGTTCAGGTAAATGCCCATGGTCACCTAGAGCCAAACAGGGCTTAACTTGTCATCCTAATCCCTGCTCAGTGTTACATTAATTTAGGATTATGCAACCAAAGCTAACAGCCCTCCTACCAGAAGAACAAATTCTTAAGGTATATATTCAACTTTAATAACAATCAAATAAAACTAAAGGTTGAAACTGAGACATTTACAGGACATTTTGGTGAAATAATTGAATATTTTTGCAAATCTCATTACATCAGAGACTGCTTGTTGGCTCTCTTAATTGCACATACCTTATCCCTAAAATCATATTTACTAATTGATACATGAAAGTTGTAAGCTTTACCATAACTTAACACATTAAACATAGTTGTTTAAGCTGGGCACCAGTGACTCAAACCTGTAATCCTAGCTACTCAGGAGACTTGAGATCCGAGAATTGCAGGTCAAAGCCAGCCTGGGTTGGAAAGTCTATGAGAATCTTATCTCCAATTAACACCAAAAAGCAAGAAGTGGATCTATGGCTCAAGTGATAGAACACAAATGGTCAGGGACAGTGCCTAGGCCCTGAGTTCAATCTCCAGGACCATTGCACACACAAAAAAGTAGTTGTTTCAGAGGAGTTAAATGTATTTTCAAGTTCCCTTTACGCTAAAAAGTGAATATAATATATAGTATATATTGTATTAGTTATATTACTTACAACCTGTTTATACCTTTATCACCATCTCTTAAGGGTATATTTCTAATATGAGCTGGACAGTTACCACCACCCACACCTCCTAAGTGTCTCATTGAAACTGTAGCTTTTTCACCACTTTTGTTGATCTCATGGTTCCCAGCTTTGTCTCCATAATTCTAAAGATCTCTGCTTTTAGACTTTACTTGGGTTTTATTTTTATTTTTTCATTCATTTTTTATTACATAATGGCAAACTGTAATAAAATACTCAAGTTTCACACACAAATATTGAATGATGGAATGCTGATGAAACTAACAAAATATTACAAAATTCATGTATAAAAGTCCCAGTCTTTCACCTAAAGGCCATTTAGAATACACACCTATTTTTCTTTTCTTTGAGATCCAGTCTGGCTGTCACCTAGGTAGCTTCATGCTTGCAATTCTGCCTCCATGTCTTGAGTGCTTGGATTACAGGTATGTGCTTTCACCCCTACTAGATGAGGTACTCTTTGATGTTTTAAAAGTAGTTGAAGATAATCTTATGCAACAGAATAATATATTTGACTGTAATTTTTCTTTTTTTTTTTAACTTTTAAAGGATGGAGAACCTCAAGAGAAGCAGCAACATGTAAGAATGAGTCAGGAATTCATCAACCAGCACACAGTGGAACGCCAGGGAAAACAGATTTGCAAATATTTCCTTGAAAGGAAATGTATTAAGGTATAAATATGTGAGCAAGGGGCTGGGAAGGTGGCTCAGTGGTAGAGCACTTGCTTTGCATGCATGAGGCCCTGGGTTCGATTCCTCAGTACCACATAAGCAAAAAAAAAAAATCCGGAATGGCGCTGTGGCTCAAGTGGTGGAGTGCTAGCCTTGAGCTGAAGAGCTGAGGGACAGCGCCCAGGCCCAGAGTTCAGGCCCCACAACCGGACCCAAAAAAAAAAATGAGCAAATATATACCTAATGCTTTTAACAAAAATGTACCAGAACAAACTGCTGTTTCCATTGGATACTTTTAAATCATACCTAAAGGGGTTTTTTGTTTGGAGGTTTTTTTTTTTGTTTGGAGGGGTTTTTTTTGGTCATGGAGCTTGAACTCTAGGCCTAGGCGCTGTCCCTGAGATCTTCAGCTCAAAGTGAGTGCTCTACCACTTGAGCCACAGTGCCACTTCTGGTTTTCTGGCAGTTAATTGGAGATAAGAGTCTCATGGATTTTCCTGCCTGGTCTGACTTTGAACCATGATCCTCAGATCTCAGCCTTCTGAATATCTAGGATTACAGGCATAAGCCACTGGCGCCTGGCTCATACCTAAAAGTTTTTAAGCTTTTTCTTCCTGGAAAAGATTGTTAGAAAATTGTAGATAAATACTATTTTTTATTTTACAAAGTAGATAATTTTTTTAAAAAGTCTTTGCATTAAAAAATATGTAAGACTTACGAAAATTTTAAGTAGCTATGGATCATGTTGCCTATAAGCTCACTAATTAAGAATTAGACCATATTGCTTCTAAGATCATATTTCTGGAATAATTTGCTTATTTAAATTTTAGTAGGAATTAAATCGTAAAGACATAACTGAGAAGTAATAATTGTCCTTGTTCTTTTTTATGGCCCAGGGAGACCAGTGTAAATTTGATCATAATGCAGAAATAGAGAAGAAAAAGGAAATGTGTAAGTTTTATGTACAAGGATATTGTACCAGAGGTGAAAACTGCCTGTATTTGCATAATATCCTTTATCACAAGATACAGTACCTTTACTATTTATAAATATTTAAATGAACATTTTAAAGATTGAGAGTTTTTAATAAAAGCAGAATTGTAGCTATAGCAAAAGTATCTAAGTCCAAACTTAGTTTCAAAAGTGATTAATTATACATAGTTTTTTTCTCATATACATACATATACATATATACATATATACATACATATACATATATATGCACATATATACATAATTTTTTTTCTTTCTAAGAAAAGACAAGAGTTTTTAGAAAATTTTCAAGTAAATATCCCTTCTTTGCAGTGGGTTCATAAGTCCTTGTTCAGTTCGGAAAGATGTCAGGTTTTTGTGTGAAGTAGACTAATTGATTCTGTATTCATAAGCTACTTCATAAAATAGGCAGAGATTACATAATTTAGAAATACTTTTTCTGTGTGTTCCATACTGTCTAGTGGATGTTTCTTAATAGAAGAGCCTTAGTTACCTAGTGCAAATAGTACGGTATAGAGCATTATAAAAATGAGGACATAGTCATTTTAGGGCAGTAGCACCTTTGGTCACCACAAAATTTGCTATTCAGTTACTGAATACAAGGAATCCCAAATGCCAAATAATAGGCTTTTTTTTTTTAGAAAACAAAATTGAAGATATTAAAAAAACACTTTTAAATAAGCAAATATATAAGGAATCCAGATTTAAAAAAAACATAATGACACTCTGACTTTGATTTACCCTACTTCAGAAGAATAATGTAGAGCTGGGAATGTGGCTTAGTGGCAGAGTGCTTTTCTAGCATGCATGAAGCCCTGGGTTTGATTCCTCAATACCACATAAACAGAAAAAGCCAGAGTGGTGCTGTGTCTCAGGTGGTAGAGTGCTAGCCTTGAGCAAAAGAAGCTCAGGCCCTGAGTTCAAGCCCCAGGACTGGCAAAAACAAAAAACAAAGAATGCTGCAAAATAATCATATTTCTCATTGTATTTAAAACATCTCTTTCCCCACTGCCCTCCTTTTTCTCTCTTTCTCTCTCTCCCTCTCTCTCTCTCTCTCTACATATATATGTGTGTGTATGTGTGTGTGTATATGTATATTCAACATTACAATTATAGATCTCATTTGTAAGAATGGCTGTGAAGGAAATAAGTGTCTTGTGATGGTCTATAAACTTGATTTATGTTATCTTTCTCAAGTTAGATTTTTTTTTTCTGTAACACAATTAGTAATTTATTGTCCCCCCCTTTTTTTTTGTCGGTCATGGGGCTTGAACTCTGGGCCTGAGTGCTGTCCTTCAGCTCTTCAGCTCAAGGCTAGCGCTCTACCACTTGAGCTACAGAGCCACTTCCAGTCTTTCTGGTGGTTTATTGGAGATGAGAGTCTCACAGGCTTTCCTTTCTGGACTGGCTTTGAACCATGATCCTCAGATCTGAGCCTCCTGAGTAGCTAGGATTTCGGGCATGAGCCACCGGCGCCTGGCCTTGTCCCATATTTTAAATAGAAAATTTGATTTTCTATTAACAGGAAAAGTTTTTATATAAGAAAAATAAAATTACTAACAATAGCTATTTTAGTAGGATTAAAATTGTTTTCTTCCTTAACATGTGTGCTACATGAATACCCTTGCAAGTTTTATCATACAGGTGCAAAATGTTATCAAGGAGACTATTGTAAATTTTCCCATGCTCCATTGACTGCTGAAACACAAGAGCTATTAGCTAAAGTAAGTACAATTGTAATATTCTGTTTCTCTCTTTTATGTAAGAGTATGTTTGGACTGAAAATTGAAAAGATACTGTACCTTAAGAACACCTCAGAAGTTACTACTGTATGGTAATCTAAGAATTTTCTTTAGTTGGAAAATTATTTATTTGTATTTTTTATAGCCCAAAGGAAGACTTAAGAGTGATTGGTGGTGTAAATTGGAATGTTCTAAAAATCTTCAATGTAATTAGCAATTTTAATAGCTAAATAGAAAGGCAAAAGAAGGAAAAACAGTACTATTGTAACCACTCTTGAGAGGACAAGTTATGGGTCAGTAAACACTTGAGAGTTATATCAACAGGAACTGAAATAGTACTTTCTTTCTTTTTTTTTCTTTTTTGTCAATCCTGGGGCTTGAATTCAGAGCCTGGGGGCTGTCCCTGAGCTCTTTGTGATTAAGGTTAGCACTCTACCACTTGGGCCATGGTGCCACTTCTAGCTTTTTCTAAGTAGTTTATTGGAGATAAGAGTCTCAGACTGTTCTGCTTAGGCTGGCTTTGAACTATGATCCTTAGATCTCAGCCTCCTGAGTAGCTAGGATCATAGGCCAGAGCTACCAGTGCCCAGCTCAAATAGTACTTTCAAAGTATTTTCTTTAAATTTTTTTTTGGGGGGTCGGTTGTGGGGCTTGAACTCTGGGCCTAGGTGTTGTCCCTGAGTTCTTCAGCTCAAGGCTAGTGCTCTACCACTTGAGCCACAGTGCCACTTCATTTTTTTCTGGTGGTTTATTAAATCTTAAGAGTCTCATGGACTTTCCTGCCCATGCTGGCTTTGAACCACAATTCTCAGATCTCAGCTACCTGAGTAGCTAGGATTATAGGTGTGAGCCATCAGCACCCAGCCAAATATTCTTTTAATCTATAAGAAAAGATTATTTAAATATTTTAGTCAATTATATATTGACTATAAAAAGTACAGGCAAAATTATATTGTTTCAGGCAGAGAATGTGGCTTAGTGTTAAGAGTTTTTGCCTAGCATGCATGAGGCCCTGGGTTCAGTTCCTTGGTATCACATAAATATAAACTTAATAAAATATAAGGAAAAATAACCATTAAAGATTATGTAAGTGAGGGAGGTAGTTAGTCTCTTCAAAATTAAACTGAGCTGAACACTGTCACTCATGCCTATAATTCTATCTACTCAGAAGACTGAGACCTTAGGATCACCATTGAAAGCCAGCCCAGGCAGGAAAGTTTATGAAACTCTTATCTTCAACTATCAAAAAGCCAGTAGTGGAGCTTAGCTCAAGTGGTAAAGCACTAGCCTTGAGCAAAAAGAAACTTAGGCATAGCATCCAGGCTCTGAGTTTAAAACCCAGGAGTCACACACACACTCATACACACACATACACACACACATTAAATTGAAATATATACAAAAATAAGTTATTTTTTTGGTACTGTTCTGGAGCTTAACCTCAGGGCCTGGGCCCTGTCCCTTAGCTTCTTTTGCTTAAGGCTAGCAATCTACCACTTGAATCATACCTCCACTTCTAGCTTTTTGGTAGTTTATTGGAGATAAATGTCTCACAGACTTTCTTGCCCAGGCTAGCTTGGAACTGTAATCCTCTGATCTCTGTCCCCTGATTAGGTCGGATAATAGGTGTGAGCCACTGACGCCCAGCTAAAACCTTATTTTAAAACCAGCAATATGACCTTCTGGCAGAAAGTTCTCTTGAAAATATGTAAATACTAGAAAGTCACGGTCACTCCTGCCCGGGCTGGCTTTGAACCGCGATCCTCAGATCTCAGCCTCCTGAGTAGCTAGGATTACAGGCGTGAGCCACCAGCGCCCAGCTAAGGACATTTATTATTGTTGTAAAGTACTTTATATGTAAATGTTTATATGAAATGCATGAAGAAAAATTATGTATAAAATTAGTTTTTTATTTCCTCTTGTAATATTAGATTATCAGAATGGATAATACTAGAGTTATGTGAAAATATAAGAACATTGTAATTTACATAATGAGGCAATAGTGCATGAAAATAATTATGTGACTTTTTTCATTTTTTTTTCATTTCAGGTTTTGGATACTGAAAAGAAGTCAAATAAATAGACAAGAAAGGTAAAAGTAGAATATACCAACTTTTTTCCCAATCTCCAACATCTCTAGAAATTGGAGTGTAAAAGTGTTTTGACACATATACATATCTGTATATCCACATATCTGTGGCCTACTTCTCCATTTGAGTTTGTCTATCATTTATATTTTTAAATTTCTCTTGAGTTTCTTTATAGATTTAACAAATGTGTGTAGTTCGATAAATAATTAGTGACGTTATTTTTGCTCAATGTTATGCTGCTAAAATTCATTTATGTCGTTGTCATCCACTTGTATTATTCCTGTGTAGCATTTCATCCTGTAAATATGTTATAGTTTAATTATTGTACTATTAATGAACTTTCAGGGTTTTTCAATTTTCTTTTTTTTTTTTTCAAATTCTTTATTGTGATCAAGTGATTACATAGTTTCCCAAATTTCACAGGATTGTGGGATAGTGATGCTTAGTTAAATCTCAAACACATTCTAACTTTCATGGGACAAATTGTCTATCATGGTCTAAAGTTTATAAGTTCTGTGAGCTTTGACAATACAGTTATTTCTTCCACATAGGATGATATGTACATTTCTTTCATTTTGCATAGCATCAGCTGTTCCCTCTTTCCCACTGGTTCCCTCCCTCCCATCATTGCCATTGAGTTGCTTAGTTCATTTTGATCAATATCCACTGCAGCTGATGGGGTCCCGCTGTTGTGTGTTTTTCCCTGACTCCCTCTAATTCTGTGTCCTCCTTGTTTCCCTCCAGTGTGCACATATATACCATGCATCTTATCAGCAGCATGGGGTTATTTAGTGGTGATTCGAACAGATGAGTGGAAGTCTTGTTAACTTTGTTGTATCACCTTATGTTTTGGATTTAACATCCACTTATCAGGGAGACCATGTGCCATTTGTCTCTTTGCTCTTGGCTTACCTTGCTCAACATGATTTGTTCTAGTTACATCCATTTCCTTGCAAATGCCATTATTTTGTCCTTTCTAATGGCTGCATAATATTCCATTGTGTATAGATACCACAGTTTTTGGATCCATTCATCTGTGGTGGGGCATCTGGGTTGTTTCCATATCCTGGCTATTGAGAACAGTGCTGCAATAAACATGGAGGTACATGTGTCCTTGTATCCTGATTCCTGTTGTTCAGGATAGATAGATGCCTAGAAGTGGTATGGCTAGGTCATAAGGGAGGTCAATCTTTAGCTTTCTAAGGACCCTCCAGGCTGCTTTCCAAAGTGGTTGTATAAGTGTACATTCCCACCAGCAGTGTAATAGGGTTCCTCTTTCTCCACATCCCCTCCAGCATTTGTCGTTGGCTGACTTGAGCATGTGGGACATTCTGACTGGGGTAAGGTGGTATCTCAAGGTTGTCTTTATTTGCATTTCCTTCACAACCAGGGATGGTGAACATTTCCTCATGTGTTTCTTTGCCATTTTTATCTCTTCTTCTGAGAAGTCTCTCTTTAGTTCCCTTGCCCATTTAGTAATTGGTTTGTTAGGTTTGGGAGGAATTTTTTCAATTTTCTAAGTACAGTCTGTTATAAATATATCCCCAGGCATAAATATGCTTCAGTTATTTAGATACCCAAGAGGGGAATGTCATTATTGTGTGTGTGTGTGTGTGTGCATGCGTGTGCGTGAACGCATGCACATGCACATGCATGCACTAGTCACTGGGGCTTGAACCCTGGGCCTCACTCCTTGCTCGGCTTTTTTGCTCAAAGCTGATATTCTCCTACTTGGGCCACACCTCTACTTACAGCTTTTTGCTGTAATATAAGAATATGTTGCATTTGGCTGCCTGGCCTAGCTTTGAACCTCAATACTCAGATCTCAGTAATGTTTTAATATAGAATTTTAACAGTTTCCACTCCTGTGAACTGTATAGAATTGCTATTGTTCCACAGTTGCCAATATTCTATTTGTAAATACTTACTCCTTTTCAAATCAATTAGTGGATGTAAAAATGAGGTCTCATAGCTTTATTACATGAAGTACAGCATTTCATCTTAGGCTTACTGACTTTTTCCATTCCATTTTTATTGAAATATTCATGTCTTTGTTCAAGTTTCTATTAGACAGCGCTCTACCATTTGAGCCCACATCTCTGCTTCTGGCCTTTTGGTGGTTAACTGGAGATGGCAGTCTCATGGATTTTCCTCCCCAGGCTGGCTTCAAACCCAGTCCTCAGATTTCAGCCTCCTGAGTAGCTAGCATTACAAGCATGAGCCACTGGCACCTATATATGATTGTCTTTATATATATTTTATATATATTACTGATAAATTTATAAAGATTGGGTGTAGGTCTTCTATTTTATGTGATGTTTTCACTTTTGACATATCAATGAACAGAATTACTTACTAATTTTAAAATCATTTTGCTTCTGGTTGGTTTTGTGTCTTCCATGTGTCAAGAAGACAGAAAATAATTTTTTTTTAATTTGGGGGGGTTTTGCCATCATACTTTTGTTGTTGTTGTTGTTGTTGTTGCTCATGGGGCTTGAATTCAGAACCTGGACGCTGTCCTAGAGCTCTTTTGCTCAAGCATGGAAGCAGCTCCACAGACTCAGCAATCTGCTTGCCACAGAAGACAGGGCCACACACCTTATAGCCCAAGCTCTTTAGTTGGGACACAAACTATTCCTCTGGTCACCATCTGACTCTTTGCACAAGTGCCTCTCATGGCTGTCTCACATCCACACATCATAGGAAAGTGCTCTTAGTTTCCCTGACTTGCAGTTATTTCCTTTTTCAGGTCTTCATAGTAGTTCAGTCTCAAACAGTAAGCCCCTTTCTCAAGTTGCACCCTGTTGCTGGACACCAGTCACTCACACCTGTAATCCTAGCTACCTAGGAGGCTGAGACCTGAAGATCAAGGTTCCAAGTCAGCCTGGGCAGGAATGTGCATGAGACTCTTTATCTCCAGTTAACCATCCAAAAGCTGAAGTAGAGTTGTGGCTCAAGTGGTAAAATGCTAGTCTTGAGTGAGAAAGCTAAAATACAGCGCCAAGGTCCTGAGTAAAAGCCCCAAGATTAGCACAAAAAAGTAAAAATACACCCTGCTATCACTCTCCTTGATACAGAGAGTGACAAAATGGATTTCTTTTCTAATGCTGGTCCAATATACATAAAGATTCACTGTTACAATATTGGATTTAAGGCTTTGAAAAACTGTAGGCTTATCCTGCTGTTTGTCTGTTGGAGCTGTAGACTGGTTCCTACTTTTCTCTGCATTGCCTTTCTCTGTCTCTGTTCGACTCAGATGATCTGTCACCTCTTTTGTGATTACCGGTGTTCTTTTGGACTATAGTCTCTCCTTTGTTACCCTGATGCTCTCGTTAACCATAACATGTAGGAAGCTTTATTTTCACCTCACCATCATAAGACCAGAAACTAGACAGGTATTTCCATACTGCATCCATTGGATCAAATCCAATTTTCTTTTATATTCCCCATGCACTCATCCCCATACACATAAGCACATGTGCACACATATACATGTCCACATACATATACTCAGTCCCCAACATACTCAAATCCCTTCCCCATGCGCTCTCTCCTACCAGTCATATATACACTCTTCTTTGTCTCTAGTCATACAATTCTACTTTTAGGTTGACAAGTTGTTAGCTTCCACATCTGAGAGAAACATGATACTTACCCTTTTTGTACCTGGCTTATTTCCCTTAATGGAATATATTTATTATAGTTACATGTTCTCTGTATTTTTTGCTCTTTATTAAATATTGCTTTATTTGCCTCATTTTTATCCTTATTGTTCTAGTCTAGCAATTCTCTATATTCCCAGTGAAATGTATTCTTTCTTTTTAAGGTAGTCTTCACTTTTTTTTATGGTTTTTAGTTATTATTTTCTTTATTACTTTTCAAGTTAACGCTTCATTTTTTTGTTCAGTTCAAGTGTTAGGTTTTGAATTTCAACCCAAGTTGTTCATTCATTTTCCCAAAGAATATTTTGTCCATTTTTGAGTTTTTCTCTTTTTTGGTGGTTCTGAGGCTTGAACTCATAGTCTTGGCTTTTCAACTAGATGCTTAATCATTTGAACCATGTGCCCAGCCTATTTTGCCTAGATGGCCTTTCTTCTGCTTACCTTCCTCTAGACCTGGGGTGGCAAGTGTTTACCAACACACCCAACTATTGATTAAAAATGAGGTCTCATAAACTTTTTTGCCCAGTCTGGCCTTAATTGATCTTCCCAATCTCCACTTTCTGAGTATTAAGGATTATAGGCATGAGGCACTGCATCTGGCTTTCATTTTGAATTTTTTAAATTATTCTACATTTTTTGAAGGTAGTAAAGGGAGATAGGAGTACATTTAAGTTGGTAATTTTCACCAGCCAATGTGTTTTTATTCTCTATTTTCTTTTGTAGCTTTGTTTAGCTGAAGAGGGCTTATGCCTATGCCTGTTCAAGACTGTTCAAGACTGATGATTTGGACTAGTTAACAAGATCCAAAGTACCTTCATTTCATCGTGGTGGTGTGCAACTTCTCTAACAGATGGTGCAGAGGGGCAGGTCTTGTACTCACATGAAGGGCTGGGTCTTCACTGGGGCATCTCAGCTACTGGATCAAAAGAGGAGCATAAATGGCAGATAGGCTGGCTAAAAAGGAAATGTTGTGGTAAGAAACTACAGAAGTCCCTTATGATGGAGATGTCTTAATAAAATAGGAAGCAAAGTTAGTCTGCATAAGAAGGGGTAAAGAATTAGGATAATATAAAAATAGGGCTCTACATTTCATTAAATACTTTTTTATACATATTTTTAATGATGGTTCACAACTCCATTTTATGGTTCAAAATACTCCCTGATTTTTTTAAAATCAGTTTTCCCTTAGACATTTGTTTCCAGTTTCTTACTATTATAAATAAAATGAAGTAAGATTTTTCACTGTCTTCCTAAATTTGATTTTCTAACTTTTTGTGAAAATATATGCATATTTATCACCATTGGTTTATATGTTAGTCAGGTTAAACACTGTTATGCAGAATTCATTGCTTGATAATGTCCTTTAAATACACAAAGATATGTATACAACATTTTCCAAGCATAAATAATGAAAATTCCAAATATGCTTTTTCAAACTGGGATTTGAACTCAGAACCTTCCTCTTGCTAAGCAGTTGTTCTACCAGTAGTTCTACACTGTTCCTAGCTAAATTTATATAGTAGTATTTACTATTATTAGAGAAGCATTATGAAATTGAAACCTATCATGTTTTATTGGTAAGAAAAATAATGTCATTAACTTGCTAATATAAATTACGTCACTCCAGCAACTTTTAGCAGAGTCTTATGAAAATGTGAGTTAGGATTATTTTGATTATAATCCAATTCCAAGAAAGAGAATTGCATCTACTACCAAATATTTTTCAGACAAGACCTCATGAAGAAAGAGATCAGGACAGATCCCTGAGCTCTTAGAAGAAGACAGTAAATGAGAGTGAGCCATCTCTCATCACTGTTACTAGTGTCTGCTGAGTTGATTGGTCTACTCTCTAGCAATGACTGAGGAAGAGCACAAGGCAGTATAGTAGAAGCTTCTAGAAGGAATCACAGAGGAAAGAGGTCAAGGTAATATTCTTAACATGATCTGTTACACAAAAGCCTTTAATCATTTAATAAAATTATTAAAGAAGTTACCTTTTAGCCCATAGGATACTTTGTATTTTCTCCAAAGATAGTATATAATTAAGGAATTAAAAAATCCTGGGCTAGGAAGGTGGCTCAGTGGTAGAGTGCTTGCCTTGCATGCATGAGGCCCTGGGTTCCTCAGTACCACATAAGTAGAAAAAGCCAGAAGTGGCGCTGTGGCTCAAGTGGTAGAGCACTAGCCTTGAGCTGAAGAGCTGAGGGACAGCGCCCAGGCCTAGAGTTCAGGCCCCACAACCAACCGGGAAAAAAAAAAAAGATCCTGACCTAGCCCACACATTTAGAATGCAAATTTTATGGCAAACCTGTATGTAAGCTAACATTGCCAGCATTAACAATGAGCTAGCTTTAATGCACACCTATCATGTACTAGGTTGTATGCTATTTTAAAACTTCTATTGAAGTTATTATCATCTTGAAATTCTATTGAATTTCCTTTTTTAAGCTTCAAAATAACCTTAGGCAATGAATGTGAGCACTTGCATAATGTGAGCAATTGCATAGAGCGAGTGAATAGAAACATTTGCTTTGTATTTAAAAACAATTTCCATAAGCTCTATAAATACTTGTAATTATATATGACAGTCCAATTTCTAATTATGTATAGTTTAATACTTATGGGATATAACTGTTTTTGGGTCCGGTCATGGGTCCTGAACTCTGGGCCTGGGCGCTGTCCCTCAGCTCTTCAACTCAAGGCTAGTGCTCTACCACTTGAGCCACAGAGCCACCTCTGGCTTTTTTCTTTTTGCTTATGTGGTGCTGAGGAATGGAACCCAGGGCCTCATGCATGCAAAGCAAGCACTCTACCACTGAGCCACCTTCCCAGCCCTATAACTGTTTTTGTATAAATTTTCTACATAAGAAAAAATGCCAGTGCAATGGCTCACATCTGTAATCCTAGCTACTTGGTAGGTAGAGATTGGGAGCATCACAGTAACAGGACACCCTCAGCAATAAGTTCCTTAGCTACTTGGGAACATCAAATAGGTAGATCAAAGTCCAGGCTAACCCACCATAAAACAAAGCCCTCTTCAAAAGATAAAAGAACAAACCCAAGTTTGAAGAGCTTCAAAGTCAAACAGAAAACTTAATAAAGCCTTTTTCTTTTTCAATGAGTTAAATCTGTGTCAATGAAATCTCTTGTGTTAAGTTGGGAGAGAGATGTCCTCTCTTATTGCCCTGGATGCCATTATGCTTTAGGGTTCCCATACTCTTACTGTAGTAGTTTCTAAATGGTCACCTGCCTCTGTTCACTTACTTTTCTTCTCTATTGTTCACTTTGGTTACCGGAGCAGATTTCCCATTGTGCTGCTATGCCTTCACTGAGTAACACTCTCCCTGAGTCAAGATCACTCTGTCTGGTTATCAAAGTGCTCTGTATTTCAGAGCACTTTCACTGCCCCCATAAAAGAGATGTTTCATTTAGAATTGCAGTTCAGACTTCTTGCTGGTGGCTCACTCTGATAATCCTAGCTACCCAGGAGACTTAAGATCATGTGTCATCATAGCTACTCAGGAAGTTAGGATCTGGAAGATTGTTGTTTGAATTCAGGTGGAGCAGAAAAGTTATTAAGACTTCATCTCCAAAATAACCAGTGGGGGGAAAAAAAAGCTAGGCTGGAAGCCATGGCTCAAACGGTAGACCGCCAGACAGCAAAACAAGTAGAATACGCACAAGGCACTGAGTTCAAGGACCTCCTTATACCAGTGGTGGTGGTGGTGATGGGGAATAAGGTCTTTGCCTTTTTTGTTTCTCTCTGTTGTGGGTCTGGGCACTGTCCCTGAGCCTCTTTGTGCTTAATGCTAAAATACTACCACTTGAGCCACAGAACCACTTCCAGTTTTTGAGTGGTTAATTGGATATAAGAGTCAGCCCTGGCTGGCTTCCAGCTGCAATCCTCAGATTTCAGCCTTCTGAGTAGCTAGGATTACAGGTGTGAGCCACTGATGCCCGGTATTTTCCCTGTAATCTTAGCTACTTGGAAGGCTGAGATCTGGAAAAGTGCAGTTAAGAGGCCTGGGCCAAAAAAATTTTGTGATAGACTCCATCAGTGGTATAGTGGTACATTAGAAGTACGAATAGGAAATCATAGTTCCAGGCCAGCCCAGGAAAAAAGTGTAAGACACTATCTGAAAAATAACTGAAGCAAAAGATTAGTCATTTCAGTTGTATTTTCCAACTTTGGTATTTCTACTTGGAAATACCAAGTGGAAATTTCCATCTCTGTATTAATATTCTTTTATTTGATGAGACAGTAGTCCCGTTGTTTCCTTTAATTCTTTGTACATTGTTCCTTTAGTTCTTTGGACATACTAATGGTAGTCTTAGTAACTCCAGCATCTGAGCTTCTTTAGGGATAGTTTCTATTGATTGTGTGTATGCAGATGCACTCCTGACATACTTCCTTGGTTTTTTGTTTTGTTTTTTTGTTTACAACTTTTTGTTGAAAGTTGACCTTTTTTTTTTTTTTGCCAGTCCTGGGCAACTCAGGACTCAGGACCTGAGCACTGTCCCTGAGCTTTTTTTGCTCAATGCTAGCACTCTACCACTTGAGCCACAGTGCCACTTTCAGCTTTTTCGGTTTATGTGGCTTTGAGGAATGGAACTCAGGACTTCATGCAAGCACTGTAGGCAAGCACTCTACCACTAAGCCACCTTCCCAGCCTTTTTTTTTTGGTAAAAGAAAATAGATTAATTCAAAGCCAGAACTGAGGAGAATAGACATTTTTCTGTCTGAGGGATGGTTAGGAGTGTTGAGGCCTTTTAAAAGGACACAGTAGGTTACAGTGAGTCAATGGGAAATCTTCGTGCTAAACTAAGTCATCTCTCCAGAGCATAGTCTTTCTCTTTTTCAGAAGTGAGAAGTCTAGCAGACCTGGGACCTTGACCTCCTTGGGTCATCACCTACATTTTCTTTTCAGCTAAACATGTTACTCTTTTTCAGTTTTTCAAAGCTCCCTGTAGCCTTTCCTTCCAAGTCTTCCTCTTTTCTCTTTCCCCTCTCCTCCCTTTATTCTCATTCCCTCCCAATACTTCCCTTTCCCTCCTCTCCTGCTTTGCTTGAGTAAATTCTGTTCAAATTGTTTTGTCTTTAATTAATTAAAAAGTTGAATTTTTCCCCCAGTCTTCATACTTTTTTTTTAAATTTTTTTTGGGGGGGTCCAGTCATGGGGCCTGAACTCTGGGCCTGGGCACTGTCCCTCAGCTCTCAACCCAAGGCTAGCGCTCTACCACTTGAGCCACTGCACCACTTCTGTTTTTTTTCTTTTTGCTTATGTGGTGCTGAGGAATCGAACCCAGGGCCTCAGCATGCAAGGCAAGCATTCTACCACTGAGCCACCTTCCCAGCCCCCAGTCTTCATACTTTTTATGAAGTGAATTTTTGGAGCTATTTCCTGCAATTTCAGAAGTAAATACCATGAATCACTCTTAAGTATTAGTTGTCAAGTACAGATTTGTTTATAAGTATAATTTTTATTTATAATATATATGTATATATACAAAAGAGAAGTAGAAAAGTAGAAATATAGGTAGATAGATGGGTCATTGGATGAGAACTAGACTTGTACCATTCTCCCATATTTTATTTCAGAATCATCTTTCCTTGTCTGGCATGTCCAGGAACTCATCTTCCTGGAAAATGTAGTTGTACTCAGTGAATTAAGGCAGTGAATCAACCAGCAAAGTTCACATGACTTGGCAGGAAGCTCCTGGTTAATTTATATTTGGGACTTTCAGTCTTTGCTCTAAAATTTTAAACTACCACCAATGCTGGTGATTCAACACTTGTAATCCTAGCTACTCAGGAGGCTGAGATCTGATGATCATAGTTTGAAGCCAACCTGGACAAGAAAGTGTGAGACTCATATCTCCAATTAGCCACCCACAAAAGCTGGAAATGGAGCTGTGGTTCAAGTGGTAGAGAACTAGTCTTGAGCAAAATAGCTCAGGGACAGTGCCCAAGCCCTGAGTTTAGGCCCCAGGATGAGCACAAAAAATATTAAATTTTAAGCTACCTTCTTACAGGATTCAGTAGATGTCATCTTTATTATTTTCATAATTCTTAATTGCTCTATGTCCCTGGTATATCATATGCAAAAATATATTTGCCTAAATGCATTACTTGGCAGGAGTGTTTGTATATAATAACATAAACTGGACTTTAAGCTTGGATTTCTGAACTAATTTGTGCTCTAGACCCATATCTGCTGACAGACCATCTCTTTTCAGCCTCCCATATGCCCATGGACTACAAGCCAACTCAAACTTCCTCATGTAGCTGAACTCAAGCAGGTAAACCCAGAGTCAACAGAAACGATCCTTATTTTAGCCAGAGGCACATAAAGCAGTCATTGCAAGTCATGGAAAAGGAAAGCCTGGTTGCTGTGAATTCCTTATTGTCCTAACCCTGAATGCCGGTTCTTGTGAAGCTGTGAGGGCTTCTATGTTCTCCTAAGTTGGGAAGATGCTGTGAGCTGCCCCTCAGGAAGCAGAAATCTTCCCAGCCTCCATGGCCCTCACTGCTCTGAACTGCCAGAGTTTCTGGAGAGGTATGTTCTTGATATGTACCCTACAGCTAAATCTGAACTAAATGACTGCTTAGAAGGACAGTTTTTCTGTCATGAGGTAAGTGTGGCAAAGAGAGATGGAGAGAGGGACAGTTAGATGTGACCCACCCATGTGACAATCCTCTCATATAAGCATCAGAACCAAAACCAAATGCTATCTATCGTAGGTGACTGGTGTCCTGTCAGATACAGGGAAGGCCTGACTTGGGAAGAATTTCCGTGGAACTCCTGCTCATTTGTCTTTTATTTTCTAACTGATTCTGTATCATCTGCCCTTTCTGTTTGTCGAAGAGGGAAAGGAAATGTAGGCCATGCATTCTGGTCCTCAGGGCAAAGCATGACCTCAGTATAGGCATGTGAATGGTACCCATGCAGTCCTTCACTTGCTCTGTAAGGTCACCTGAAGGTCACAAGAGCAGGAACTCTGATGGGACTTTTAACCTTACTTGTCCCTGGTACACTATGGAGAAAGAAGGCCTCTGTGGCTTTTGTGAGGGCACATTTTGGTCAGTTTTATCTTGGTGTTTGAAATTGTTGCTTTATGTTAGGCCTATTTGGCATCAAAATCATCATTATAAATCAGTTCAGTGGCTTGCTCTAGATCACCCCCCAAGCCACTCCCCTGTCCTCCCCCCTTTCCCCTGTCTGGGAGGTGATGGACTTGCTCCTCTCCCACCCATCTTCATCCCCAGCATGAAGGAAGAGCTCATCGTGGTGCTGTGTCTCACTTTCAGGACACAGCCAGGCCCTGGACTCACCCACTGGGTATTGTGCACATAGGCTTCTGACCCATTCTGTTATATGGAAACAGAAGTCTGTGAGTCATGTTTGAATAGGTCTTAAATGACCTAAAAAAAGAAAAAAAGCAAGTTCACAGATCTTTGTTTTATTGTTAGATAGGTTTCAGCTGAGCTTATGGAAGCAGAAAATTTTCACCAATTTTGACCATGTCTCAAAAAAGGACCAAGACAAACCCTCCTAAAAAGCACCTTCAGATTGGATTTATCACTAAATTAGAAACACTTCATCTGGCTCCATCTCATACAAGAGAAAAACAAAGAATTTTTAAATAAGTAAACGTATTTGACCACTGAAACTTCCTCACAGCCCCCATTCCACCCCATTCTCGGCTCTAGCCAGAGATTTCCTGTTTGGGTCACCTGAAAGCCATCACCGCTTGTTCTTCCATCAGAAGAACACCATGAAATCAAGAACAGCTGAACCATTTGCCTCAGTTCCCCATGGGAAGATATTCTTAACAATCCCTATGTGGCCAAGACAAATTGAGACTAGTGGAGCAATCTCAGTCATTGCCTCTGTATTTTCTATCTTATCTACCCCAGGATGCCCAACTCAGACAGAAGAAAGCCAGCTTCCCCTCCTAGAAGGCACTGGGCTATCTCATTCTTGGGGGGTTGTGTGGGGGGGGAGGTCAGTAGACAGGAAGAAGCAGCATTCTTCATTTCTAAGGTTATCATACCAGGTCATGTTTCTGAAATGGCTATCTCAAAAGGAAAGTCATAGCTGGGTGCTAGTGGCTCATGCCCATAATCCTAACTACTCAGGAGGCTGAGATCTGATGATCACAGTTCAAAGCCAGCTCAAGCAGGAAAGTTAGTGAGACTCTTATCTCCAATGAACTATTGAAAAAAAAGCCAGAAGTGGCACTGTGGCTCAAGTGGTAAGAGTGCTAGCCTTGAGCACAAAGAGGCTCAGGGACAGTGCCCAGGCCCTGGGTTCAGACCCAAGGATCAGCAAAAAAAAAAAAGGTGGGGGAGAGTCAGATAGAACTATGCTTGCATGTTGGTTTGTTGGTGTAGGCAGGTCTGTCTAGGGCTCAAGGGCCCTCCTGTGGCTCTTGTTGAGAAGGCTGGCAGGTTTGTCACAGAACATAACAAAGAGCAGCATGCTGGGGGTGGAAGAAGGGCACCTCATGCCAGGTGTACTAGAAAGGACTAGACCATCGACATACCAGAACTTCAAGTCCTAAAAGGACTTAGCTTGAACAATGCAGAATGCTTTGACCATCATCTAGACGCAAAGCACAAGCATTCCCTCAAAATGCTCTTCACACAGCACTTGGAAAAGCCACCCATCCTCTAGGGGAGAGGGGAGAAGTTAGTGCATAATCTAAGGGAAGAGGGCTTTAAGGCAGAAAGAAAAAGTGATGGCAGCAGTTTGGATGCTTTCTTTGTCACCCGAGGGAACAGAAAGCATCATTTGCCTGAGTGAACGGGCAAATCTGGCAGAGGCAAAGTGGGAGGAGGGCCTCTGGCAGTCCATATGCATGATTGAGTCTGAAGAAAGCAGCCCAAATCTCTATTCCAGTGCCCAACATAGTACCCTAGAAGTCATAGGGAGACACAAAGATGGTGACCTTGGACACATGCTTGGCCAGGAAGGCACGTTGGTGGTACTCTGACATGTCAACGTCTACCTCCAATGTCTGAGGCCCCTCCAGGGGCTGGATGAGGATCAGCTCTACTGTCTGCCGGTCTGAACGCTGCGTGACAAACTGGCCACGGCTGCTTCCACCCACAATCCCAAACCGTAAACTGGTGGGCCTAATCCGGCCTGGTGCTGAGACTGTGGCCATTCGGAAGAGCGTGATGGGCGTTTTCAGGTTGGAGGGCAGAGCCAGGTAATGGAATGAGATGGTCTTGGGCATGTGGTGGCAGGGTCTGCTGTCCATGGGGCAGGGATTTCGTTCACACTGGCTGGAGCAGAGGCAAAATGGAGGCAGTCAGACTTGGGAGAAACTTAAGGGGGAGCTTTGATTGTGGCTAGTATCAGACAGGTCCAGGGAAGGGCTTCACGATCCTAGGAGCTCCCATATTGTGTGTATCTGCACATACATGTGTATTCATGCTATTACTATCATTTGTACAGAGAAAGCCTGAGAAGATCATGTAATGATGGGGATGCTGGTAGTCATGCCAGGCGCTCTTTCTTGAGGCGATGAGCACTCTCTGTAGTGGTAACACCCCAGTAATTAGCTGGCAACTCTTGCAATGTGGGCTCCTCAAGCATGGCTCAAATTCCATTAGAACTAGAGTCTGGTGAAAATGCTTTCAGAATGTCTAACTTATAAAACAAAAGCCAAGCACAAGTTGAGTGCTGATGGTTCACACCTGTAATCCTTGCTACTCAGGATGCTGAGCTTGGAGGATTAAGGTTCAAAGCCAGCCTGGGCAGGAAAGTCTGAGAGACTCATCTCCATTTAACCACCAAAAATCCAGAAGTGGAGTTGTAGCTCATGTGGTAGATCACTAGCTTTGAGTGAAGAACTAAAGAATGACACAAAGGTCCTGAGTTCAAGACCCAATACCAGCACCAAAAAAAAAAAAATCACAAATTAGCACAGATTTTGTATCATCAAGGTTACACATGGCACATACATGTATAAAAAAAAGTCATAGTTTTTATTTTAAAAAAAAGATTTTTCAGGCCAAATATCACATGGGACTGTTAATCCATTGTTCCCAAAGGCTTACAAAGGTCAAATTCCCTGTTCTTCACTCAGTGACTCCTTGAAAGAAAGGTCTAGTATTTTCTCTCTCAAATAACTACCCCTCTTCAGTGTCACTGACATTTTTGCTACTTCTAATCTGTTTCAATCCAAAAAGCAACTTAAATGACTTATGTAGTCAATTCCGCTTGAAGACATTGCAAGAGCTCCTAAGATGTCTTTTTGGGGAGAAAACAGGTATGCTTTATGTGAGTTACATTATTGCAACCTCTGGAAAGCCAACAACTCTACTGCTTAAATGCTGAGCTCACGAGATGTTAAACCACCTGGTAGAATGGAAAAACGGTGGTATGTGCAAAGTGCCTGAGGTTTACACTGCATCTATTAGTTGCAAGCTATGTGAACCTGAGAAAATGGACCTCTTCTAAACAGGTGTGATTCACACCTGACTCCTGGGATGCTGGGGGTTTTACCAAGGTAACATCACCATATCTTCTCCCTGACCATGCCACCACGCAGTGGCTGCAGTCTTCTTATCTAATAAGGAGCACTGGGGCAAAATGGGTTCTTGGAGGAGTTAGACAACCCATTCCCTACCCCTCAACTTTCCTATGATGTTGCTGTCTTTTTCACAGGAACTTACAGGAAGAATCCAGGCCAGCTTTACTGTAAGACCTGGGATGTACGGGCCCTGACTCTACTCACAAGGGAGATGTCTTCACATAGCTCACGTTGCCGCTGCCCTTGGGGCACTCAGGGCTGACGCACTGGAAGCCTCCACTAGTGTTGATGCACGTGGTCGCCTGCGGGCACACATGTGGGCTCACACACTCATCAATATCTGAAATGCAGAGCATAAACGAGGGTGAGAATTCACCCCCCCCTTTCACAGAAGCACAGGACAGACCTCAAGGGCACTAGAAAAATGGAGCTCTGTAAGAGATGAGCTCCCCAAATCTTGGATGCTTATTTTTCTTTTTTTTTTTGAGATAAGATCTCACCATGTAGCCCATACTGGGGATTGAACTTGGGACCTCACATTTGCCAGGAAGGCACTCTACTAATTGAGCCATACCTCTAGCCCAGTTTTGCCCTGGTTATTTTCAAGATAGGCCAGATCCACCTACACTGCAATCTTCTAACATGCTTCCCCGTGTTGTAGGAGGTGACAGGTACATGCCACTGTACTTATCCATTGTGCTTCACCTGTAGCTGAGATAATAAGCAGGTGTCACGATGCTCAGCCATTGGCTAAGATGGAGTTTTGTGAACCTTTCTGCTCAGGCTAGCCTTGAGCCTTAATCCCCCATCTAGTAGCAGACTACAAGCTTCAGCCACTGTAGCTGGTGTCCTCCAATTTGTGATCTCTTGTTTCATCTTTCCAGATATTCTTATTATAGACATGTACCACCATGTGATTTCCAAAGCATAGTCTGAAAGTATTAACCCTGTCAAGAATTCAGTAATCAAGTTCATAGAGAAACATGCTAGGGAATGCTACTCCTCAGGATCCTGTGTTCCTGGGGCATTGACCAGTGCTGGGGTTCTGGCAAGTGACAAATGAGTATTACCAGTTACTGTTTCTCCAAGACTTCCTTTTCTGCCCAGGTGCCCTCAAGTCTTTCTTAAGTCACACTTCTAAGATTCAAAGGTTTGTTGTTATTGTTGTTGTTTTGGTAGGTTTATTTTTTGTTTTGTTTTTAGCCAATCCTGGGACTTGAAGTCTGGGTCTGGTCACTGTCTCTGAGTTTCTTTTCCTCAAGGAGATTCAAAGATTTTACAAAAACCGTTGATCTCAGCCACATTCCATTCTGAATGCTGACTTCCACACTGTGTTAGTTGTAAGGAAAGTTTGCTGATCTCTTAACAACCATCCAGTGGGCCTATCCAACTGAGGTTGTCTCTTCCCCACTTCAAGCAATCCTCTGTGGACTTTCATAGTGCTATGGTATGGGTCCTGGATGGGTATCAGTAATTAGGTGGGTGGACAGGTGAGTAGACAGAGAGAATGGATGGGTGAATGAATAGATAGATGGATGGATGGATGAGTGTGAGTAGATAGTTGGTGTAGGTAAACGGGTGAGTTTACAGTGTCCACTGTATGGAGCCCTAACGGGTCAACCAGTGAGAGGACAGGTATATGGACAGATGGATGGATAGATGGATTGGCAGGGAAATGGACAGATGGTTGGAAGAATGGGTAAGTGGATGGCTAGGTAAGTTGATGAATAGATGGGTGACTGAGTGGATAATTATTTGTGTGGGGACTCTAGAGCCCCATGATAAGTATGACTAGGTACAGAAATGATGAGTGGATGCTATACGTGCAGAAAGCCTGATGCCAGTGGAAAACTGCTGGTTTGTATGTTTGCCTTATCTTGTGTTGGAGGGTTCTGGGAGTTTGACATTACACAGTGATCCTATCCAATGACAATGAGTGCCTGCTCTTCCTCACCCTATCTTTATTCCTCCCCGATCTCCTGTTACCTGCTCCTTGGAACATGCCCTTTGATCTCTAACCAAAACCACTCCAAGATAACAAGTACCCCCTGACCCATAAAAAGCAGAGGACAGAGGATATTCTGTAGTTTAATTAGGCCTGCCAATCTTGCTCAGTCTTGTGACAATATGAGTATGAATCTTGGCCTGATGAATATTGTTGCATGAATAATCCTTTTCCACCATCAGTGTCCACTGTATGGAGCCCTAACAAGATGTCACAAAAGAGCCCCTCTCTCTTCACAATTCCTACATCATCCTGTGTAGGGACCTTTTGTCCTTTCTCTTCCTCTTCTCCTCTCGTAGTAGTCATCACAGCCATTGTCTGAAGCCAGGTAGATTCCTCACACAATCCTGAATTCAACAGATGAGGGACCTGGGGCTGTCTATCCTCCTAGTATGAAACAGGCTCCCAATAGTAAATGTACTTCTCCCCCAATGCCACTACAGCTCAATGTCAAAGCCTAGAATCATTTTAACCAATAGGAACCCCACTTGGCTTTCAGTACCCCCCATGCTCCTCCCATCTACTTTTCACTTTTCTAGGTTTCGGTTCTCTGTTCTCAACTGTGGTGTAAAAATATTAAATGGAAAATTCCAAAATAAACAACTCATAAGTACTTTTCTTTTTTTGCCAGTAGCAGTTATGAACTAACAGACTGTACTCTACTATGGACTGTACTCTACTATACCTCCAGCCTGGCTTTTGCTGGTTAATTTTGAGATAGAGTCTGGTAGATTTTTCTTCCCTGGTTGGCTTCAAACCACAATTTATCTGGATTTAAGTTTCCTGAGCAACTAAGATTATTGTGAGCTGTTGGAACCTGGCTTAAATGACTTTTTTTTTTTTTTGTTCGGTTGTGAGGCTTGAACTCTGGGGTTGGGCGCTGTCCCTGCGCTCTTCAGCTCAAGGTGAGCACTCTACCGCTTGAGCCACAGCGCCACTTCCAGTTTTCTAATGGTTTTTGGAGATAAGAGTCTCACTGACTTTACTGCCCAGGCTGGCTTTGAACCAGGATCCTCAGATCTCAGTCTCCTGAGTAGCTAGGATTACAGGCGTGAGCCACCAGCGCCCGGCAACTTTTTTTTCCCAGGATCTGGGGTTTGAACTCAGGACCTGGATGCTGTCCCTGAGCTCTGTTTGCTTAGGGCAAGTGCTCTACCACTTGAGCCACAGCTCCACTTCTGGCTTTTTTCTGTGATTAATTGGAGATAAGAGTCTCAGACTTTTTTGTCTGAGCTGGCTTTGAACCATGACCCTCATATCTCAGCCTCTTGAATAGCTAGGATTATAGGCGTGAGACACTAGTGCCTGGCTTAAGTAACCTTTTAACAGTATGTTACAGTTATCCTATTTTACTACCATTTTCTATTACTGAGCCTGATTTCTAAAACAGGATTTATCATAGGCATCTATGTAGAGGATAAAAGCATCATAAGTATAGGGTTTGGTATTATCTAGGACCTTTAATGAATAAGGAGGAACAACTGTTTTCTGGCTCTGAGCTACTATGAGATCTGGTATATTTGTGTTTATTAATATCTTAATACTTGCCTTAATGGCAAGTATTGCTGTAATAGGATGCCTCCCGTTAGCTACGCAGGGCCCTCAGGTCTTATCAAGTGGTATGAGTGTAGCTGCTGCAAGAATGCTCAGCCTCTCCATTCTACTGTCCACCCTTAGCTTAATGCATCATACTCCAACCCCACAGAAAACTTTCCTTGCCAATGAAGGCACTCTTTCACACTATTCTTAGAATCAACCTCCAAAACCTCAGGCCAGTCTTCCAGAAGGCATGAGCAGCTGGGATGTTCAGTTCCATGCCCCATTTTTGCCTGGATACAGTTCAGATGATAACTGTATCTATCCTCTGCCCTCAATAGGTCAGAATCTGATGAACACCTCCCTCTGTTCTCCCCTCAAACCCAAGTAAGGGACTCTCACTCTTCCCATTCTCTGGGCACTCCGCCCTCTACAACTCAGCTAGCCACCAAACATGGCCAGCATTGTGGGACCTGGCCACACTCATTCACACTGAGGTGTAAGTGCCTGTAGAAGGGAGCCTGCAGGTGCTCACAGGTAAGCCATCAGAGTCCATCAGAGAGGGCGATCAATTATCTGTACAACCTTAGCTAAGGACAATTGAGTGGAAGTGACTTGACCCTGGAAGCAGTTGTTCACATGGGGTCAGAAGAGATATGAACCAGGATGGCTAAGCAACTTATTTCTTATGTAGATGATGTGCTTTGATCTTTGAGAGTATCTTTTTGTAGTTTGTATATGTGTGTGCCAATCCTGAAGCCTGAACTTGGGGTCTAGGCATTGTCCTTGAGCTTTTGTGCTCAAGGTTAGTGCTCTACCAGTTGAGCCACAGCTCCACTTCCAACTTTTTGTGGTTAATTGGAAATAAGAGTCTCTTGGGCTGGGCACTGGTGGCTCATGCCTGTAATCCTAGCTACTAAGGAGGCTGAGATCTGAGGATTACGGTTCAAAGGCAGCCTGGGCAGGAAAGTCTGTGAGACTCTTATCTCAAATAAACCACCAGAAAATTGGAAGTGGTGCTGTGGCTCAAGATAGAGCACTCATTCGCCTTGAGCTGAAGAGCTGAGAGACAGTGCTCAGGCCCAGAGTTCAAGCTCCATGACCAAAAATAAAAAAGGCTCTTGGACTTTACTGCCCAGGCTGTCTTCAAACTGATCCTCAGATATCAGCCTCCTGAGTAACCAGGGTCACAAGCATGAGACACCAGGTGCCCAGCTAGTTTTTTTGTTGTTCTTTGGGGTTTGTTTTTGTCAGTCATGGGGCTTGAACGCAGGGCCTGGGCTTTTTTTTTTTTTTTAAGATCAAATGTATCCATTGGCTCTCCTCATTATTCCAGTCTTGAGGGTGAGGCTGCAGGTGGGGAGGGTCCCAGAGGGCAAAGACACAAAACATCCCCAGTCACCTGCCTAGCCACAAGTCTCACTCACCCTCACAGCTCTTCCCATCTGCCATGATCTGGTATCCACTGGGGCAGGTACAGCTGTAGGAGCCAGGGGTGTTCACACAGGTATGCATGCAGAGCCGGAGGTGCCTCTCCTGCGCAAACAGCTCACACTCGTCCACATCTGGAGACAGAGGAACCCACTGTGACTGCTGGGCCCATGCAATCCTCAACAGCTGGCCATCGCACCCAAAAACTCCATTCTCTGGCAGTGTGGCTGGTCTGGGCCTGATGCAATCACTTAGCCGTAACCCCAGAACAGAAACAGGTGCGATCTCCCTTCTCCAGAACTAGGGGCCCTAATGGCTTAAAGGAACGGTGGAGAGAGCCAATGCAGTAGACCCCAGAGGGGCAACTCAGGCTAAATGGGGTTTGGAAGAAACTGCAGGGATGCACAGGAGTGGGCTGGGCAGTAACGCCAGGCTGAGGGGAAACCAAGAGATGAGCCCTAGGCCCCTGCACAGCCCCAAGCCCCGGCCTACCAACACACTGTGCCACGCCCTTCCTGCGAACGCGTGGGTGCTGAGCAGGGCTCAAGGTTCTGAACCGGCGCCTCTGGCTGCTTTCCCAACGTCTTGTTTTATTGACGTTTCCTCCCTAGCTTCATTCATAGGACACTGCTTAGCGAAACCGTAAACTGGGACCGCTTTCTTAGCCCACAAGCGGTGAGTCCCCCTCCCGGCCGCACGGCCCCTCGCGCCTACCCTGGCAGACGTCGCGGCTCAGGTGGAATCCTTCCTCGCAGCTGCAGAGCTGAACCCGCTCCACCTGCGAACAGCGCGGCTCCCGGCTGAAGGCAGGGCCCGAGGCGTTGGTGCGCTGCAGGCTGGAGGCTGGGCCCGAGGCGCTGGTGCGCCGCGAGCTGGAGGCCGGGCCCGAGACTCTGGTGCGCTGCGGGCTGGAGGCAAGGCCCGAGGCGCTGGTGCGCTGCGGGCTGGAGGCAGGGCCCGAGGCGCTGGTGCGCTGCGGGCTGGAAGCAGGGCCCGAGGCGCTGGTGCCCTGCGGCTCAGCTGCAAGGAAAACGCGTCCTTAGAGGCCGCCCAGCCCGGGGGCCCAAACTAGGCAAAGGTGGAAGAATTAGGACTAGGAACTCTTCTGTTTCCAGTTAGAAATTTAATATTATTTACACAGTTAAGGGATAGCTGATACATTTTCATTTGCTAGATCTTTCTATATTAAAATAGAGCCAGGTGCCCGTGGCTGGCGCCTGTCATCCTAGCTACTCAGGAGGTGAGATCTGAGGATCATGGTTCAAAACCAGCCGGGGCGGGAAATTCAGGGAGATTCTTACCTCCAATAAACCACTCAGAAAACCGGAAGTGGTGCTGTGGCTCAAGTGGTAGAGCACTAGCCTTGAGCTGAAGAGCTGAGAGGGACAGCGACAGTTCAAGGTCCACCATTGACATAGGAATGGATGGATAAATAAATAAGTAGATTGGACTAAGTTTGGAGTCTGTCGTTATTACTGCTAAGGACATCTTTGCCCTGTCTGCTGTTAAACAACATTTGCTGTAATTATTGCTATGAGATCACACCCTTCTACTAATTCCTCAAGTCATCTAGAAGGTTCACTTAAGAGTAGGAACTCTCAAGTGCTTACTGTGGGATAGGGGAAGATAAACCATCAACCGAAGCCATCAGTCTAGGTCCCACAAAGGAGGACAGAGGAGGCAGAGTACACCCCATTGTCACAGTCCATGGAGACCATAGAACTGGCCACGGAGGGGACTCCCTGAGATGTGAAATTACATTTGCATTTTAAAGAACTTAATACTGTTTGTTATACTTGTCTAAAGTGTTCAAAGTTTTTCCTTTTTTTTGGCAGGGGTTTGGGGATATTTGATTTTTGTTTTGTTGTGCTGGTACTGGGACTTGAACTTGAGGCCTCATGTTCTTGCTTAGCTTTTTCACTCAGGGCTGGTTATCTACCATCTGAGTCACACCTCTACTTCTGGCTTTAAAAAAATAGTTATTAAAAAGGTGTTGTACAGAGGGGCTATTGTTACATGATTCAGGTAAAGAGTACATTTCTTTTTGGACCATGTCACCCCTTCATCTCTGTCTCCCAGTTTTTCCCACCCATTCTCTCCCACAAATTGTATAGTTCATTTTCTTTCTTTCTTTCTTTCTTTCTTTTTTTTTTGGTCCAATCGTGGGGCCTGAACTCTGGACCTGGGCGCTGTCCCTCAGCTCTTCAGCTCAAGGCTAGCGCTCTACCAATTGAGCCACAGCGCCACTTCCGGCTT